ATTATTTATTTCGTTCGATTGTGTTGAAAGCTATAAGCTTATTCAGGAATCTGTTCCTGGAACTAACCAGTACAAAGCAATGAGTGTAAAGTTTCTTGGTCACGTTTGCTCCTCACAGGGTTTAAACCTACGCGGCCAGCAATCGTTAGATTACTAGTCAGACACGTTTACCACTGGGTCATGCCGCCACTCACAAAAAATGTTCAGCATGCTTTTTTTACATTTATGTCTAGAAATAAAGTAAATGACAAGTGTAATTTTGTATTTACACTTCTTGTAAAAAAAATTTTGTTACATATACTTAAATTAAATATATAATTCAAAATTTAAACTTCGTGAATTAACGTTTTAAACATCACGAATACACGATTTCAATTTTATAAATTAACGATTTCAAATTCACGAATTTAAGTTCACGAAGAAGTTATAATGTGACCGCCGCTCTTTCGTATTATACGAGTTCTTTCTAATGTTTGGATTATCTTCTTTCAGATGATAATCATAGAAACGGCCCACACTATTTCCTCTACAAACAAACAGACAAACGAAAAGAAATGTTTAGCACAAAAACTCTCGGTGAAGCTGTACAGGTAAATCTGTTTCATTTTTAAGTTCATTATCATCAAAATCAGTTTTATAAACCGAACTGTCATGGTGGACCTGGCCGTCATGGTTACAAAACATGTACGAATTTATGAATTGTTATGATGTTACGCCAATTCTGTGTTGTTTCAAACTAAGTATTTCAGCAATTTTATTTTGGAAAAGTGCATCATATCACTTATCACATATCACAGTATATTGAACCAGAACCAGTATAAGTTTAGTACTGCTTTTATTGAACGAGTTGAATAAAATTACCTTATGCAAGCCTCTGGCTAGCACATTATCACTTTACTCAACGAGTTCATTTAATTTAGTAAAGAAGCTAAACGATTGTCATATTCTGTCCAAAAAAACCTGAAAATAAGACCAGTAAAGAGTACAAAATATTCATTTTCCCATTAAGGCGCTAATAAATACGTAACATGATTTTACGTATTTTACGCTATGTTTGTGTAACGCATATGACATCATGCCAAAAAAATTAACACGTTACCATTATTATTAACGGTAATCAACGTTACAAAAACGCACGTGCTTTATTATAAAATTACTAAAAAAAGTGTTATAAAATTGCACGGGTATGTGATAAATGTTTTCTTGCATATCAGACTGGCGTTTCCGTGAGTTTTACCCATGCCGGAAATTTCATCTGGCATGGGGGGTTCCAGATGAGTCGCGTGCTGTACAATGGCACGGTTAGGATGACGTCATTTTACCGTTATGAATGAAGTTGTAATTCATACGCTGTTGTAAGAAAGTAGTTACGGTTGTTATGATATAAATTTTCATTGAAAATAAAGATAAAGAATTTAAAATATAATGGAATATGGTAGAATATGCAAGAAAAAACATCTGACATATGTTTGCGGTTCGGATCGGAATATCCGTCCCTCGGTCACCCGCCCATGGGCGGTAACTCGGCAAGCCTCGTTACCGCCCAATGGGCGGGCCACCTCGGGACGGATATTCCGATCCGAACCGCAAAATATGACAGATATTATTAAAGTTATCTAAATTAATGTAAAAGTTTCACTTTTTTCTTTCAGAACTATTGGAGCATTTTTATTCGCCACGACATGTACATTATTTCTGACAGAAACCATGAAATTATTTGGAGGAAGGCTCCGCCCCCATTTTGTATCTTTATGTAAACCAGACTTTTCTAAAATAAACTGTTCCCATGGTTACATTATGATACAAACTGACGTGTGTACATCAGACGTTACAAAGAGGAAACTTTTAGATTCAAGGTATGGCTATAATTGAACGCTTTGCATGCTGGGGGAAATTGTCGTCTGTAATAATGTCTTCTTAATGTTTTGAATTTCATATAATTTTCTCGAAATATAAAATGATAAATTTTGACTGTCAAACAAGTAGTTACCTGACAAGAGGCTGTGATACTCGATCCCTGGTTGGGCACCAAATTGTTTGCAAAAGCTAATTTGATATAAAAAAAATCTGGGAAAACTCCCAACAGCTTAAGCATAAAGAAATTTTTAATAAGTGCGACTGTATGGTCTACGTTGCCGTGGAAATATCATAACAACAATTTTTTTACATTTGACCAGGCACTCAATCTTTAATTATCGAAAGAAATTTGATTTTGCATTATCATGGAAATATATATAATGAAAAGACATGTAACTTAAAATTTTCAAAAGTGTCCGACTTAAAGCAGAAATAACAACGCACCAGAGTGTTGTCTTAATGAAAATCATTGATGAAAATCATTAAAGGTATTTTAACCTTTTGCCCTTCCTGCCAAATAACAAAGGTGGATCTAATAATGTAAAATTACCTTTAGCTTATTATTAAATTAATATTATATATCAAAGTACTTTAAGTGTTAGAAGAAGAATTGGAGAATGACCAGGCACGCATTACGGACATATATTACTAGGAAGTAAACAGATTTAGGCTTACTGAAAAATGGGTCTTCTTGACAGGTGCCCGGCTCGTACCGTAAATAAAGCGCGAAGGGGTCACAGATTTTACTTGTTTTCCAAGTGAAATAAATAATCAATGGCTTAATATTTACTAGCTGATACATGTGTAGCCTTGTTTCTTAGTAAATGTTTATATAATATATATGGTCATATGACCTGTCAGAACTTTTTGTAAGGAATATTTAGTATATCACGGTCATTTTATTTTAGTGAGATGCATGTTAACCGGTCGTGTATATAAATAGCATAACATTAACTATAATCCAATAAAAAAGTCGTTACAAAAACACACGTGCTTTATTATAAAATTATTTAATATACTGTGTTTATAAATTGCTAGTTCGTATGACCAAGAATGACAAATCCGTCTGTGAGTAGAACAATCCATGAATTTTGAAGATAAGTATATATCAATAATGTGTAATTTACTAACCTTAATAATTCTGTCAATTTATTCCAGGAAATCGTTCCCATCAGGCCATGCTTCTTTGTCAACTTTCGGTGCAATATATTTACTGGTGAGATTATATCTTTTATTTTTTAATAATGATATAATTATCATCTCTTTTAATAATTCTTCAGGAACACGGTTGTAATAACATAATCACTTAGAGGTAGCTTAAGCAATGTTAATCATGTCACTTTGACCAAATTGTATGCTGATTGATTATAAATTGAAAAAAAAAAAAACACACACACACACGCGCGCGCCCGCACGCACACAAAAACACTACCGTCAAAATCGTATGTACTCTCAATAATAATATATTATATCTATGAACCTTTCTTTAAATGTGTATAAAAGAATTTTATGAATATTTAATAACTTACATGATTTAAGTTAAAAAAAGATACATGTTCATTTGTAAGGTTGACCGGCTTAAGAAGTCTCAAATGCAGCATACTTAATATGATTATTTCTACGAGGTTTTGTATAAATCTTAGCTAGAAAAATATGGCTGATAGTATGACATGATGTACAGTTTATTTGATATAATAAATGTAGCTTTTATTTTTATTTTTAGATTTTTCTGCAGCTCCGTTTCACATGGACGAAAAAAATAAGAATATTTTTGCCATTAATACAACTTGGAATTTTATGCGCAGCCATATTTGTTTGTATTTCCCGCGTGAATGATAACAAACATCATTTTAGTGACGTCATCGCTGGTGCTATTTTAGGAACGGTCATAGCTTTATTGTCGGTAAGTTTCCTCTTTACTAGTATCTAATCGTTATGGAACGCCTTGACTGTCTTATGTTATCAATGTTTTTGCTATCTTGTGAAACGATGTCAGTTAACATATTAACATGTGCAATTTACATCATATCTTGTCTAAAGACAATGCTGACTTGTTAAAACAGCATATTAACTTGTCAAATAATCATGATGACATGTGCAGACAACATGTTAACTTGTCAAAGTATCATGATGACTTGTGCAAACGACATGTTAACTTGTCAAGATTTCATGATGACATGTGCAAACAGCATGTTAACTTGTGGAATTATCGTGATGACATGCTCATAATACCTTAACAAGTTAACATGTGTTTTGCACAAGTCATCACGATTCTTCGACAAATTAACATGTTGTCTGCACAAGTCATTATGATACATTGACAAGTTAACATAGCATCTGCACAAGTCATCATGATACATTGACAAGTTAACATGCTGTTCGCACATGTCATCATGAAATTTTGACAAGTTAACATGTCGCTTTCACAAGTCACCATGATACTTGGACAAGATAGCATGTTGTTTGCACATGTTACCACGATGATCTGACAAGTTAACATAGCATTTGCACAAGTCATCATTATACTTGGACAAGTTAACATGTCGTTTGCACAAGACATCATGATATATGGACAAGTTAACATGCTGTTTGCACATGTCATAACGATAATTCGACAGGTTAACATGCTGTTTACACATGTCATCATGGAATTTTTACATGTTAGCATGGTATTTGCACAAGTCATGATGATGACAAGTTAACAGCACGTTTTGACATGTCAGTATGATAAAGATAACATGTCATTTGCACAAGTCATCACGATTCTTTGACAAGTTCACATGTTGTCTTCACAAGTCATCATGGTTATTTGACATGTTAACATGCTGTTTGCACAAGTCATCATGACACTTTGACAAGTTAACATGCTGTTTGCACATGTCATCACGATAATTCGACAAGTTAACATGTCGTTTTCACAAGTCATCAATAAACTTTGACAAGTTAACATGGCGTTTGCACAAGTCATCATGACACTTTGACAAGTTAACATGCTGTTTGCACATGTCATCACAATAATTCGACAAGTTAACATGTCGTTTTCACAAGTCATCATTACATTTTGACAAGTTACCATGTCATTTGCACAAGTCATCATTATACTTTGACAAGTTAGCATGTTGTTTGCACAAGTCATCACGATACTTTGACAAGTTAGCATGTTGTCTGCACATGTCATCATAATAATTTGACAAGTTAACATGCTGTTTGTACAAGTCAGCATGTTCCTTTGACAAGACATGATGTAAATTGCACATGTTAACATGCTCAAACGACAAAATAATATTATCGTTTCACAAGATAGCAAAATCATTGATAACATAAGACAGTCACGGCTTCCATAAATCGTCTTGAATAAAAATTTTGTTGATATGTTGTAGTCTGTGATTTAAAATGGTATTATATAATCAATATATAGAGAGAAGTGCATCCCTTTCATTTTACAAGAGCTAAATGGTTCCTTAAAGCTCACAATTTGAGAGGTCTGTAAGCCAAATAGGTCAATCTTTTGGAACTTAGTTAAACATGGTTATCGTATATAAGAACCGATTTGGTGTTTTAAAATCGTCTCAAATAGCTATCTATTACTATTTATTCACGGACCCTATTGAGCATATATAAGCGAGTCGCCATTTAAGCATTTTCTCAAATAATGGCGTCACAGATGAAAGCGCCCTCTTGCATGACAAAAATTTATAAAATATAGACATTTCAAAAAAGTTCGGGGTATCACGATAACATCCGAAACTAGTCGATAATTACCGATTCATTTGAAAAGAGTAAACGTGCACAGTTAATAGATTCTAATTCCCATATCCAAATAGTGTACATGTGCATAAATTTTATGTTTTTCAGTTAAAATACGTGTCTTGTATACGAAAGGATGTGTCACAAGAAACCCATTATCTACACGAACAATCACGAGACAGATCTAGTAATCCTGTACTTATTAACAATATAACAACAACAACAAATTCAGGACAGTCTCCAAATATTGTTGTTGAGATGAAAGATGTATGACACACACATGTATAATGATTTTACAGTCGACTCCGCTTATAACGAACTCAATAGGACATTAATATATCGTTCGTTATATCCGAAGTTCGCTATAAGCGAAGTAGCAACACAATTCACTGGCTTGTTTGGGTGTGAAAAAACAATACCTGTCACTGAATAAAATTGAGCCTCGTCACGACAAAACCAACATAATGGGTTTGCGACCAGCATGGATCCAGACCAGTCTGATCAGGATCCATGCTGTTGGCTTACAAACCCTATTACAAGAAGAGAAACTGATAGCGAACAGCATGGATCCTGATCAGACTGCGCGGATGCGCAGGCTGGTCTGGATCCATGCTGGTCGCAAACGCACTATGTTGGTTTTGTAAAGATGGACTCATATATGTTGTATGAATATATATAATATCAGATCATGTATCTCACACTTGCCAACAAAATCTTTATATAATTCTGTCATGATTTGCTTCTATGTCTGATACTAAATGCTGTCAACACGATTATTCATTGTATTACAGACCAATTCCCTTTAATAGTATAACTAAAAGAATGATACAGGAATTCAAAGTAATATTACACCAATATTTGATATTGATATATTAAGACGTTGATATATGAAATACTAAAATAGAATAGGATAATTATAATTGTATGTATTCACATACAATTATAGAAATTTAAAGCTACATGTATATATCTTATTTAACATCACATTTCTGTTTGTTTGTTGTTGTTGTTTTTCGGTTTTTTTTTTGTTGTTGTTTTTTTTGTTGTTGTTTTTTTTGTTTGTTGTTTTTTGTGTGTGTTTTTTTTTTTTTGGGGGGGGGGGGGGGGGGGGGGGGGGGGGGGGGGGGGGTTATTTTTTTTCGGGGGGGGGGGGGGGGTGTTGTCGCCGATTGCTTTTTTTTTCGTTGTTGTTTTTTATATGTTTTATAGTTTGTTTTTTTTTACTTACAGTATAAATATATTTGACATATTCGTTTAAAAATGGAATGCAATACATGTAGGAATATCATATGTGTTTGGTCGCAGAATAAAGAAAGCCAGGCCATAATCAATAAATTTGGATCCAATACTTATTTATATAAAATGGTGCACATGCTTGAAGCTCATTGGATATATTAAAAAGATGTGATAGTTATATTCATTGTTTTATCTCAATGCTTGTTTCAGTTAACTTTATCTAATATTTAACATCATTCTGTTATTATTTGCTTTCGTGAAAAAGTTGAATCGTTTTGGACCTTTTGTAATTTACAAAAATCATGTTTTGGACACACCAGATACAGAAACGAATGTAGACTTAATCAAAATACAAAACAGAAATTGGGATACACATGTACATGTATATAAAAATGCAAGAATATATTTCGATTTTATGTTTTTGCTGTGTTGTTATTTTTATTTGTTTGGGTCGTCAGACCAAACAAATAATGGTAGCGAAATTTCAGAGTCTAATGTTCTTAATTGCAAATGCCGAAAGTAGTCCACTTTTTTGAAGCGGTTACTTCCCTTTTGTTTGTACACTAAAGCCGAAAAATTCAGGGGAGATCACTGCGTAAAGATGGTCAAAGACAGGCGCATCAATTTTCAAGCAAAGTAATTCCCGAATGGTCGAAGATTTCTAATATTGTTTTCTGGTATTTTCTGATCGAAAATAACTAAATACAAAGCGGACATTCAATCTCTGACACAGAAGTTTATGACAAACCTAACAACAAGTAGTTCTCAAAACAGCTTAAAACTAGCGATTTAAAAGAAAGAAATATTTTATTTTGTTACAAGTATCCAACAAATTACAACGCATTTAAAGTTAAACAATAGCGTTGGCTTATAGAATTGTCAATAAATGCACAATCACAAATTACGCGGATGAATATGATTTTATCAATGAAAATACTATTTTTAGCCATGTAGATTACCGAATACTACACAAACCGAGTAGTGGAATATATAGATTCTACATGTCGGACTGTTTGGGCGAGAGGATTTTCGCTAGAATATTTACTTCAATTTTAAACAACAGGTTTACCCTGAACAAAATACCACGAAATTAATAAGGATTCCTGAATGCAATGGAAGTTCTAAATTTAGAATGACTTGATATTATTCAGACATTTTGTGTATAACTTCTCCGTGGTACAGTGGTAACGCGCTCGCTTAGTGAGTGAGAGGTCTCGAGTTCGAATCCCAGTCGAGGAAATTTTTTTTTTGTTAAATTCTTTTTTTAATTGTTTTTGTTAAGAAGTAGCCATGATTTACAAGGATAAAGTGTGGCTGTCGTAAAAAAGTACATAAATGATTTTTTGATGCAACTCTAGTTATGCAGAATTCCGTGTGTGCCTTACAAAATGAATTATAATACATAAAAATAAACTTATACAGGAAAATGCATACAGATATACAGTACGATTTAGATTGCAAAGATCAGAAAATACCAAAGAACTTGAAGCCCTTTGATTCTTTATAAATATACATGCTTATAGTAAGCTTCAGGATTATTTACATCTGTGTTAAACAACAGTTAAAAGTCGTTACAAGCCCTAATTTAGAATAATATGGTTTTCTTCAGGCCGTTCACATATAAATTTAACCGTGGCTGAAGGGTTTTCGGGCTCGCTTAGGAAGCGAGAGGTCTGGAGTTCAAATCCCAGTAATATTTACTTCAATTTTAAACAACAGGTTTACCCTGAACTCATTTTTTTAAATTGTTAAAGTCAAATAAACATTGGATTGAATATCAGTGTTGCAATTAGTCTTATAGCCAATTTACTACAATTAAAACGCTGGAAAGCATTGGTGGCACTAAACATATAATCTCACAACCTGCACCTTTCTTACATTCTGAGACCCAAACAAATTCAGCGCCTTCTGTGCTTTGATTATGATTTTGTTGTTGTAATAAAAAACAACAACTAAAACAAACTTTGATATGTCTTAAAAAGTAGAAAGCATACCCTGTGAATGACTTACTTTCACTGTCACAAAAAGAGTTTTATACATGTAGTGGACATCAAGAACAGTGAAAAGTCACATATTATTTATGTTTTATGAATAAAACTAGAATTTTATTAAAATATGATTTGTTTCCTTTCCTCTTATACATGTAATTCAATTTTATGAATGGCAGTGTTCAATATTTATTGGTGTAAATACAATGTTGTTTTTGTCATATGTATATCATACATTAATAAGGCCAATATAATAAAATTATAAACGTTATGGTATTTTTTTTAACTGATGATCAATTTTGAGATACATATGTGGTTCAGCCACCGTGTTTATGACAAAACTAACTGAATATGGATAAGACAATTTTGCTGACCAGAATACTCATAATAAAATATGTAAAAATATGACAATATGACAATAAACTATATAAACTAATAAAAGTACAAAATTAAAAGTTAGGATAAATAACTGGCATTCATGTACTGTTCCCTATTCAAATTTCGTTAGGCGTTAAAAAGGTACGATGATAAAAAGTCGAAACCACGATAATGAAAAGTCGAAACCACGATGATGAAAAGTCGAAACCACGATGATGAAAAGTCGAAACCACGATGATGAAAAGTCGAAAGTATGAAGGCGAAAAGTCGAAAGAATGAAACCACGATGGTGAAAGGCCGAAAATACGGTGATGAAAAGTCTAAAGTACGATGGTTAAAGCATGAAATTATATCGAGGTCTTTCCATCGTGGTTTCGTTTACCGACTTGTCACCGTCGTACTTTCCACCTTTTAAATGTTAAAGTTTTTTTTATTACTTATAACTTCTAATATTTCACCAATAAACTCTCTTGCTTCTTTTACTTCTTCTTCTTCTTCTTCATATATTTATTTTTATTATTATTATTATCATTTTTTATTATTATTATTATTATTATTATTATTATTATTATTATTATTATTATCATACAGATATTCCCAATGAACGAAATGCTATGCCCGTCGTTGTATTGAAATGTTACAAATATATTTTATGGCCAGTCAAGGGCTTCTTCTGAGGTCATAAAGTCCCAAAACATAAAATTGAGTTTCATATACAGATCAAAAAAAGGGGCACTTTAAAACAGAAAGATATCCAAAAGGTGAATGAAGAATATACTCAAACATCTATTGAAAATCGTATTTTTGTGCTTTTCTTAACCCGATTTGAGTTAAAAACGTTGCAAACACTTTTCAATTCTATGTTATTTCAAGCAGTTATCATTCCTGATGAAGATGTAAAAATGGAGTGAGCGAATAATCTGAAATTTTACTACATAAATCATTTGTTCATATCTACATCAAATAGAACATTAATCTCGAAAAAATATTTCTAGTCCCATCATGTCAAAACAACCTCGCGATCGGCGGCTTCCCTTTAAGCTGGTAATGCGCAGCAGTTCAATAGAGATATCGTAATTATTTTAATTGCATATACATGTACTGACATAGACAATCTGAAGTCTCCTGGAAGGTTGCCTTGGCCACGATAGTTAGCAAATGACACGATTTGAAAACTATGATAATACAAATGGTCAGGCGATCAAAAATGATCAATGTCATTAAACGCTTTATTACTTCACCATACGTTTAGTCTTTTTTTGTTTTGTAGAAACAGATGAGAAAATACCGACTGTCGGTTATGGTTTGATACAACTTGGGATTTATTGCAAGGAGTTATTTCTATTATACGGATTGGTCATATATATTTTCTTGGAATAACGTTTATATTCATTGGTAGTAAGTGCGGATTCAAGTTTTGCAAAATACAATTATATGGACATGCAAAATAATTATACAAACTACAAATCGGAACGTCCTCGGCTATTATCTATAATATCCGTTTACTGACGATAGGGCCGAAAAGTTGCGACTGACAAACAACAAATCCCATGGTCATTAATGACATTTCTATAGAGAGAGGTCGTATTTTGGTGTTGAAAGAGAAAATAGAACCTGCTCACTTTGTAACCAGCAAGAAATAGGTGATGAATTTCATTATATTTTTAAAATGTCGCTGTAAAAGTGATTGAGCTAGAGTCAACAAACAGGACAGGAATGGTTGATCAGCCTACACCTGGGGTTTTGCGTGTGGATTAATTCAGTTTTGTCAGAGATTTTGCCTTTGATTTAGCGGTTTGAATCAGGTGGTTTACGGACGGAACTTAGCATTAAGTTGTCATCTATGCAAGTTACTGTAGCACTTATCACCTGGATTGTCATCTGGACACGTTACAGTAGCATCTTGCCAATCTGAATGTCATTTGTGCAGATTACTGTAAAAACTTATCATCTGAATGTCACCTGTGCAGATTATTGTAGTGCTTTTACATCTGGATGTCATCTGTGCATATTACTGTAGCACTTGCATCTGGGTGTCATTTGGACAGGCTATTGTAGCATCTTGTCATCTGGATGTCATCTGCGCAGATTACTAAAGCACTTATTCTCTGAAAGTCATCTACGCAGATTACTGTAGAACTTACCATCTGATTGAAATCGTGGCGTATTACTGTAGCACTTATTCTCTGGATGTCATCGGGGCAGGGTATTGTATCACCTTGTCATTTAAATGTCATCTGGACA